GCTCTGCTTTGAAGGCCCTCTAGCACCCAGAATGGAACAAGCGTGCAAGGTACATTTCCGGAAGTAAAAAAAGTACCCACTGCTCTGATTATCTAAATTAAGATTTAAGATGGAAGTGGAGAGAAGGGCATATGTGGGGCAAAGTGACCCATGTCCAGGCTGCCTGCCCACTTCTGCCTCGGAGCCTTAGCAGAGGAGACTGGGCTGCAGAAAGTAGGAGGAGGGAGAGACAGTTGGCAATGACAGCAGAAAGGGGTGCTGGCCAATGATGCCACTCGGTAAATGCCCAGGAGCAGATTAAAGGAGCCCACACAAAGGAGAGTGCTGTCCATTTGTAGGCCGGTTGGTTGTGTTCTAAGCACAGACCTGTTCATCTCATCTCATACAATGCTGTATTTCCTCTCTGTGTGGTATGTGGCGCTGGTCTGGACCAGGAGTCAGGATGGGGTGCCAGGACTGGCTACCACTTACTATACATGAGCTACTGAACTTAATAGATGTGAGAATAAACAATGCATTTGAAGTAGAACTGTCTGGACCTTGGAAGACAGGGATTTTATGAATAAAAATACTTTTTTAAATTTTATTTGAAAATCTTGTCTCTATCGACAATACTAAAATTATTTAATAAACATCCATTATGTTGCCAGCTGAAACCTTGGAATAAGCAGGCACACACATGCACGCATGCACACACACACACACCCAGGGCTCTATTCTTCAATTTCTCCATTTGAGACAGTCTCCATTACAAGTCAATATCAGGGAAAATACCACCTGAGGAGTGACACTGAATCCAATTTAAGTGACATCTCACATATCAAAAATATTTAAGTAGTGGCCCCATGTACCTTGCTACTTTAATTTTTTTAACTCAAAGTTTCATTTGATAATGAATAGTAATGACAAAATTACACTTGCAGGACAATTTTTGAAAATGCAGAATTGTGGCAAGGACTGAATTATATTTAGCTCTTAACACTTTAAGGCTGTGGAGAATTTAAGCTGAAGCATAGAAAAAGAAATAATTGAAAAGAATTTTAATACAGCAGAATGGTCCTCAATAATAATACCTTAGTTTTAAATGTTTCCCTAATAAAAAATAAGATGTAAAAAAGGAAAACAAGTGCACTAGTAAGAAATATTTTGTACATATTTTATACATTTTTTTAAAGTTACTAATTTTTTTTTGCCTTGACACAGTGGAATATCCATAAATATTGAATTGTTTGCAGCTGTGACACTTAACTTGGTTTACACTAAACTAGTCACAGTTCCAGAGTTTTCTATTGAATTCCTTGCATACACACACACACACACACACACACACACACACACAAACACACACACTGTTTGTAGACCAAATGCAACTTACTGTTCTCTGTTACAATCTAAGCAAGGTCCTAAATCATATTCTTGTGTTTTAGCCTGATTTCAGGGAACCTGATGGTGATTATGACACATGGAAAATAATTTTAACATGTCAATGTGATATTTGTATACAGTTTAGGTGACTTGTAAGATTTAAGTTATAAATTAATAGACCAAAGTACTCAAATGTTACACAAACTCACTGTATCATCTCATTGTACAAATGACCACTGTATCATGTTTTATATACAATATACATTTAGTACAACAAAGTGACCAGAACAACTACTGTGATTTTTTTTTCTGCTTTAAGAAGCAACAAAGCACCAAATCTCTCTAACTTTTCTGATAGAAGAAAATGTTTGCAAAGTTATAAGTCCAGATCTGATTTACAAATTGAGGTGATCTGGTTGTTAATTTATATTTAAGAACTTTACTCAACCCATTTCTGCTATTCCAGGAGGACTTTTGCTGAGTCCATTGCATTATCCATTATTTAACACAGTTACATGTGTTTGGGTGTTGATTTACTAAAAGTCAGTCACATAAAAATATTGATTTGTACCATGAAACTACTCTAAACAATTGGGTAAAGTAGCGAAACTATCAATTTAAAAAGGATAGTCTGATTAAAAGGAAGAAAACTTTGCAAGATGACAAGTAGAACTACAACGTAAACAACTGTGGACATTTTCACATAGCTACCCATTGGTGAAGGTCAAATTTAATCAAATGGAACCAAATACTGATAGTTACTGTTGTCCTCTGGAAGGCTCTTAAAAACAAAGCATGCAGGGCGTCCCCAGTGAATCCACAGCTCCACTGTGGTGTGGCTTCTCGCTGTCCTGTGTGCCTCCACTGGGTCCCCTGCAACTGCTCCCCGACACAGTTGGTCACTGTGATCTGTTGGCAACAGATTCGCCACAGCTCTCTCCTCTTTACAGACTCAAGTCGATCCTCCTTAGCTCTGCTTTGAAGGCCCTCTAGCACCCAGAATGGAACAAGCGTGCAAGGTACATTTCCGGAAGTCCCCTGGGGTCTAGACCACCTAGAGCTGCTGGAGGTCTCCCCTGACTGTGTCAGAGCACACTAGCCACTCTTTATGGCCATAATGCTTTGCCACTACCTTGCGTGGTCATGTTCTTTCTCTGCTTAGCATGATGCTTACCTCATTCTTAAAGGCTTTTGTGACCACACTGACTGAGCTAGTTAATCCCCACCCCACTTTTTCTTCCTGTATTGCCCCAATCAGAGCATCGGAATGCCACTAAGGTATAATAGGAGGGCTCCTGGTATGGGTGCCATTTTCTTCTGGTAGATTATGAGTTCTGAAGGGGAGAGGCTGGCGTGTTTATTTCTGCTCCTGGAACACAGGAACACTCAGCGAATGCTCACATGTAAAACTGCTGAAAGGGAAGAATGGCACAGCAAGTAATTTCTTTAATGTAAATTAAGATCTAAGCTTTGCTGGGAAAACTGAGAATGTAAATAGCTACGTACACTAAAATCTAGAATCTTCCATCATGATGTAAACATTTGTGACTGTTCCGGCGTGTTGCCAACACTGGTTCTAAGTAAGTGGCAAATAATGGAAATTTCTTGAAACTTTTTATCTGCTAAGTCTTTATTTGATAAACTCATTTTAGCTCCTTCCCAGGGCTGTTTTCTTCCTCTCTTAGTCCAACCTGCTCGTCAATGTGGAATGATTTATAAACACATTCAAGTAAGAGAGGAGAAATTATATTTCTTTCTGTAGAAGGGCAGGAGTTGTATGAATTAAGGGGAAAGTTACGTATCACTATATATTGATGGGTTCTGCTTTGTCATTCACACAATAAACTCAGAAAAGTGGGAAAGCCATAAAATCTGGTTGTATCTTGACTAAAGAAACCCAATTTGATTATATGAAGCTCTTTCTAAATCAGATGTCCCCCTTTTTTTGTGCCCTCTGATGTAGTCATTCCTGACCAGCAGCAGAGGAATGGGCAGTCAGCCTGGTCTGACCCTAATTTGCTTTAGGGTCACATCCCAGACCCTAACCTCAGCCAGATGATCAACAAGGAGTCCTGTGAACCTACACTGGCCTAGCTTCTTCATCCGACCTTTCATCAGATGGTGTTGAATGGACATTCACAATGGTGGTGGCCTACATCCTAAGTCAAACACCATTAATGTATAATTATGTTACTGGATTATTCAGAGAGAATTTTAACTGATAGAGCCAACCAGGTCTCTACTGACCATGATTCTACAGTTGATTGTATAGGGATTTTCCTTTGCTGATCTTCACTAGGGACAATGACACCCTTTACAAGTAAGATGCTAAGAAGGGAAACAACTGCTTGTAATAGTTGCAAATAACTGAAATATAAAAATCAGGTATAAAGGGTCAGAAGTACCTACAATTTAGCTTTGTAAGAGTTATAGTTCTTCCACTGAGGCAGGAGGTTTCTGAAGGATAATAGAATTGAAGAGGTTATAAAATGGATGTCTCAATAGGGAGTCTGGAGAACTGTAAATTTGGCTTACGGTAAAGCCTAGTCAGAGAAATCACGTCAAAGGATCATTACTCCATGACCTTGAGGAAAAGCAAAATCATCAGAGGGCTTCTTCTGCCCGTCCGTGAATGCACGCCATTATTGATGGAGGCAGACTCTATCTCCTCTCTGCACGCACATTCACACAAACACACATGTGCCTCTCAAGACTGCAGGCTGAGTGCACTCATAAATATTCATGAGATAATTATTATTAATAACACCAAGGTGATTTTGTTCTTTCTCAGAGGAGGCTGGTTTTTGCACCTAGTAGCTGATCTACTGTAGGAGAAATGGCAGCTTTGAGGTAGTCCCCCTGAGGCGGTCTTGTACGTTTTATTTTTAAAATACACATTATTTGACTAGGTTTTTTAAATCACCCGTCTGCCCCCATCGCATCATTAAGTTTATCCAGCAGAGATTTCTAACTCTGGAACAAAATACAACATCCTTGGGAGCACAGTTTCTAGAATTTGGAAGCACTATATCCTGATTATTACATTCTTTTCTAAAAGCAAAAATTATACAAAACAAAGATGATTCTAAGACATCTCAGGTTTTTGGGAGATGATATTTGTAAAAATGCACTGCAAAAGAATTACAACACATTTGCTACTTTTGTTATTTAAAAAACACATTTCACAAAACAAGCCTTATCAAAGAGTTATTTCTAAAATAAAAAATAAAAATAACTAATGGTGACAATTAACTAACTAGACCCCTATGAATCTGTCATAGACTGTGTCCCTCAAGCAACTGGCCTGCCTGCGTCTCTATGCATGAGATGACAGGACAGGGGAAATTACTGTCAATGATGGTTTTTAATAAGAGAAAACAAATTATTTTTGGTTGCAATGAAAATGTTTATTTTTTGCCCAAGACCTAAGGAAACATGTGACATAAATAAAATACTGGTAAGGTACAGGGTAATGGAAGTACCTCATTAGAAACAGTTTTTTGTTAGCGTCTTGTATTCCCTTGCCCATCAACATTCACCAGAACACTCTGATCCTTAGCAAAACAGTGATTAAAGCTAGAGAAACAGCGCAAGTGTATGAAGCAGGAGGCAGTAGCCAATGACGCAGGACCCACCTTAGGCATCCAGTGGCATTTCGCAGCACCTGTGAGGAATGCAGCTGTATTTTCCGATCGTCCTGCAGAGCTGAGTTTTCCCAGCCCGAGTGGGGGATAATCACGGTGTTGGTCAACACTGCCAGGGTGTCCTGGATGATTGGCATTTTGAGTGCGTCGCAAGATGAGAGGTTCCAAAGGACTCCTGCAAGACACACACACACACACACACACACAGAGCTTTTAGACGGCCGCTGGTGTTTCTCATCTCAGAGTCTTTTACCTAATCAAGGTAACACAAGAGAAGGAAGGAAAAGATAATGTGAGCATGTCTTCCAGAGTGTGCCCTTAATTTTAGAACTGTGTGAACAAATTAAAACAGTGCTAGGAAAGTCCGAAAAGTGGGCAGAGGAACTGGGACACAATTGTCTGTGGCCCATCACGGAGGGGAACTGAGGCTGAGAGATCCTACTGAACTAAGGGCACCAACCAAGCCCCCGGTCACTATCACTATGATGGAGCCAAGCACCCAAATTCTAACCAAGACCACAGTGTTGTGACAGTTACCTGAGATGAACTAGTAACATGGCTTTGTTTAATCCCAAACCTCAATACACACATGTGGACTATGTGATTCATGTAGCTTCCAGATAGAAGCAGCCACCACCATGCAGTATCTCATGAGAATCCAGCACCAGGTCTGATGAGAATGGGCTCAATAAGAAATTTAAATTTACGGTCACTTGTGACAGTTTTGTCAGCTCTTCCCTGAAAGCAATGCTCATGGAGAACCTACAGATTGATTTTTCTTATAACGTGACAGAGCAGTAGGACGCGGAAGGCATGCCCTGCAGAGAATAAGAGGAGGCAGAGCAAAAGCAACATTTCTAGGGCAGATGGAATGTTTTAGGCTTTTAAATATTTATAAAAGATACTTAAAATGGGGTTAGTTATAGAAAAGTTATAAGTATTGTATATATGATATCACTTGAAAATGCTTTTAGAATGATTATTTTTTGTTGTTCAAAGCAGAACACATAAAGGTAAAAGAAACAGAGAATAACATTCTATTATCCTATGAAAGAAAGACTGCATTTTTCCCTCAAGACTAATCCCAAATAGACATCACCATTGCAGATATGGGGAATAAAATATCATAGATGTCATCAGAAACCCAACTTCCAGCTTACTTGTTTAATATACTTTCAATAAATTTTAAGATGAGGTTTATGTATCATGTATTGTGTTATGAATAGAATAAACAGAACACACATTTCTGGCATTTGTTTTATTAGTTTCTTCCATTGTACAAGTTGAACTATCCAAGGGCATTAATTACGCTAGCCTGGAAGTTGATAATGTTTGGTTGTTAATGACTAAAGTGACAGTTTTAAATCTGTTCTATGTAAATGTGACTACAGAGATAAATTTACAGCTGTCTTTGAAAATAACATTTGCTGGGATTTTTATTTAAGTAAATGCAAATAAAACAAAATGTTTTTGGTGCTCAGTATATAAATCAGTCCTTAGTACAGGGGGTTGGCTTGAAAGCAAATCCTGTCCACTTGTTTTTGTAAATAAAGTTTTATTGGAACACAGCCCTGCCTGTTCCTCTACATACTATCTATAGCCTATAATTAAGTAGCTGAGTAGTTGTGACAGAGAGTATGGCCCACAGAGCCTAAATAATTCACTACCTGTTTCTTTACAGAAAAAATTTTCTCACCCTTGCTTTATTGTATCAACCATTTTCTATGCACCTTTGTGTGCAGGTTTGCATTTCCAATAGTGTCTTAAATTGAGTATACAAAAAAATTCTCAATTGTACACAGAGGTGCTCAAAAATATTTTTTGACTTGGAACAATTTGAAATGCTAGCAATGTTATCATATGAATCTATCTTGTTTTAAATAATACATGAAGCTGTTTATTCATCCCATTGAGAAAAATTTTGGATAATCAAAATAATCAAAATGTATACCTTCATTCATTTGCAGTCTCCCCAAATATGCTTTTTTCTAGTAAAATATTAGTTTTTCAGCAGTGAAAAGGCACATTAAAATGAAATTAGTATCTACCCCAGTATTTTAAGATAATTTTCAAAAATATCACATTAAAGGGCTTGTGCCTGTTCTTCTAAGTATACCACTGCACATATACAGACACAAAACATGAATTTTTTAATTCCCAAATCCTGATTTGAAAATAACAATACATGAAAATTAAGGCTTGTAAATATTTTAAAATATGAGTGGTATGTTTTGTGGCAAAATACATTTCCTCCAAAAACTCTAATAGAAAGAGAGACTTGAATTTTTTCATGCAATGAATTTAAAAGCATCTAAAGGTATTCTGTGATAATGAAGCAATTTTTACTGTTTCTAACAAACAGATGGGGTTGAAAGGGGAAAAATCAAAGAAAACGTAAAGACCTAGTCTAATATCTGACCAAGAGTGAGAGGATGGATATCATCCAAGATAACTCTGTCTTGGACTGTTCCCTCCATTACGTTTCATATTAATCAGTGTAACCTGATTTCAAATTGCACACGGACAGAAGTTTCCTGGTTCACATTGGTTCCACCTTCCCCGTTTGGCTCCATCTGCGCTCCACGCTCCGATGAACTCGGCACAGCGCTTGTCCCGTATTTCTACTTCCTCGCTTAATTTACACTGCAGCTCCCGAGTGCTTCCGGACCACGTGAGAACTTCAGTGGGTCTCTGACCACGTCAGTTTCACTGTCTCTGCTTGGATGTGGGCTTGGCAGAGTGGATATAACGAGGCAGAATGTCTTTCAGGGAAATTCAGCAAACCAGTTGCAGGGGGCCCTGCAAACTTTGAGTTTAGGTTAGATTATCCGGACACAGAGACATTTCAATGTAGAATCAGAGGTCTCTGGAGGTACTGAGATGAAGGTTGGTATGTCTGTTAAGAGTCAAAAGTGGGAAACAGCTGGGAGCTCTACATCTGTCTTGCTGCAGAAACACACACGCACACACACACACATATACTCATATACACATACTTGGAGCCAGAACCCCGCCCCCTCTGGGCTGCTGGCACAGGGGCACGGTATGGGATCGATGTTTGTTATTTTAGCGGCTGTGATTTTGGGGGTAATTTGTGGTAATTAATGTCCCTTCCTTCTCAACCTGTGCCCTCTGTCCCTTTTCCTTTCTCCTTCCTTTCTCTTCCTCTTCTTTCCCTTTGTCTACTGGACTCCCTTTTCCCCTCGATCACATTTTTTTCCTAGCTGCTCCTCTCATGCTGTGGGTTCTCTTATTCCCTACAACGGCCCATCCTCTTACTAAAGTCCACCAAGACAATAGAGAAGATTCATAAAGGAGGAGGAAGCTGAACTCTGTAATTAAACTTATAAAGCACTTTAATTTAGATTACAAATGATACTTACCTATTAAAAATGTATCCTTTTTCATGTTTGCAACTTATTAAATGGCCAAACACTTTTCTTTAATTTGGACCAACCCGTTATTAGTTTCCTATTGCTGCTGTAACAAGTCACCACAGATGTAGTGCTTAAAACAACACACATATATTACCTTCAGTTTGGAGGCATGAAGTCTAAAACAGACCAGCAGGGGGGCACTCCTTCTGGAGGCTCTAGGGAAGAATTTCCCTGTCTTTTTAAAAAGCTTCTTAAGACTGCCTGCATTCCTTGGCTTGAGGCCCTCATCCCTCTGACGTCAGCATCCAGGATCATTACCACATCTCCTGCTCTGACTCTGACCTTCTCACCTCTCTGTTATAGGGACACTTACGGTTACATGAGCCCACCTGGAAAATCCAGGATAGTCTCCTCATTGCAGGATCTTTAACTTAATCCCATCTGCAAAGTCCACTTTTACTAGTAAGATAACATTCACAGGCTCTGAGAATTAGAACATGGATGGCTTGGGGGGCCATTACGCAGTCTTCCACACACCCCCTTAAAATATTCTGCTACCCATAAAATAAACTTTAACTCTTATTGTAGCTTTGTGATCAGGCCTTTCTCTGAATCTAAAACCATCTTGAATCATATCCTTTCATTTATTCTTTTATTCACTCCATGCATGCTAAGGATACACTAGCATGCACCAGGTTCTATTTGAGACACTTGAGTGGACACACTGGGAAACAAGACACAAAGGCCCAACCCTTGTGGCCCTTGTGTTACTGTAACTTCCGGCATGCTCTGGCCATCGTGGCCTTATTTATTCTCCCTGAACATGCAAGCTCGTTTGTAACTCAGATCTCTTGGGCTTACACCCTCTTGGATTAGAACATTCTCCTTTCCAAGACAGAGCCTTCTTTCTGCTCACATGGCACCTTAAATGTGCTAAACTCAGAAGCTTTTCTGGATCATTCTAAACTACCTCCCCAGACACTTGTTATCAGAGCTCATATTTTGATTTTCAGCAGAGATCTCATCACTAACTCATATTTCCTATGAGTTTTCAATACTTGATTTTCTATCATTTGCTTATTGTTCTTCCCCACAACAGGGTCCCAGCTGTGACATGAAAGCAAGGACCCTGCCTGAGTGTTCAGGGCATACAGAACACATGCAGCACAGAGAATATGCTCTGATGCACATTAGGTGCTCACCAAATAGGTGCTAAATAAATGCAAGACTTAATACCTGGGTAATATGACCCTTGCAGAATGATGTGTGCTTCAAGCACTGAACAGTCTTCTTTAAGTATTGTGGTGAAGCAAAAGTAAGTAATGATTTGGAAGAATAAAATAGGAGATGCAAGAGGCAATGATAAAAATAATTCATTCAAAAGAGAATACAATAATGTGTTATTGCAAGGGGATTATAACCCTTGAGTCTACAGAAATTCTATGTTTAGCTACTAAAGAAAAATTTTTTTGACTGAAAACAGTCAGTCTAGCATCAGAAGGCTTACCTCTAGTACTCCACTTGGCTGATTTTCTTCATCAATTCCTTGATAATTCTAAACTAGTAAGGTAATACTAAAATTTCAATTCGTGGAGAAGTTGAGGAATAAACTGAATTCAAAGGGTATTTGGCATCCAAACAAGTTACCCCTTTTATTCTTATGGGAAAGTAACATTAAAATGGTTTAGTATTTTGGTTGACGGTCACTAGCAAATTTTAATTTACCTGATAAAATATGCTAATTTATTCCAGATATGCAATCTCTAACAAACTGTTTTATAGCATCATTCCTTTAATT